GAGGCAGCTTGCGCATGGCAGTGCACTTCCGAGCAGGACCGAGCATGCATTGCATCGAGCTCTCTTTCCGAGGCGATTTACTGTTTTTCCTAGCTTAGTTAGCTTGTTAACTAATTAGGCAATTTGTAATAATTAATTAGCTAGGATAGTTAATTCATTATTCGATTTGTATTATTCTTTTGGTCCCTCCGAGCGAGGGCGAATTTGTAATAAGTGTGGTCTTGCAGTCCCCACTTCTTTCTTCCCTTTTACTTACCTGCTTTGATGGTTAGTAATAGGTCATGTTTAAATTAGCATACCTTATGCTATGCATGCGTGCATTCATGCATTTGTATTGCATGCACCGGGCTCGGCGCATAATGCTAATTTCATTTGTACTTCAATTCCAAATTGAATACGTGCATCAATTGACTGTATCTCACATGCCATGCTTGGGTTAGCCAAGCCTATTCTAATTGCATTCTGTATGTGTTACATTAGTCAAATTTGACATGAACTAGGACCATGCATGTTGGCTAACTAGTTTATTGTTTTGGCACGGAGTATGATGTAAGTATTTTGATGCTTTAGCATACCGCATGCGTGTGAGTGTTGCCATGACAGCATGCTTATCATGTGGCTAGATGCTTATGTGATAAACTGTCTGAATGCCTGTGGATGAAGGTTGGATTGTCTGAGTTGGAGAAACTCGTTGAAATCCGTATTTTTAGCCTACTTGCGAGTAGCAAATTCCAAAGTGTTTTTCAAGACAAACGGATATGCAATGCTTATTTCCAAATTAGGCAATCTAGTCTATACTTGTGTGCTGTGCGCATAACATAGTAATTCTAGGCTAATAAATGGAATAAGAACACATAACGTTTTCAAAAGCTTCACCTTCCTTCCTGTTTGTGCCCGATAAACCGTGGATGTAAGTTTTGCTCCCTTCTGGATAACAATTGGTAAAAGATGACGCATTGACATAGGTTCTTCTCTCTTTCGGTTTGTGCCCGGTAAAGCATGTTGTGAAATTAGTGACTCGTTGTAGCTGGTATTGATGAAATGGTTTGATAGGTGCCCAATTTCCCTTCCATACCAAGGCTGGTAAATGTGAAAATATATGAGGATGTTTTATTATTAAACAACATGTGAGATGTTGGTAGTTATGTGATGAGAAATTAATGGATGTGATTAGTATGTTTTGGAATTGTTATTGAAATTATGATTGTTTATATAATTTTGTGAAATTATTTGATTGGTGATAATCATGACAACAAAAAGGGTTTTTACGATACCAAATGCATGTCATGGAAACGATTTTACGACATGCATAGTAAAGTCGTATTATGACTAGTCATGGAAAGTTATTCACTTTCAATGGCATGTTGTAGTATGCCATAAAAAATATTTAACAGAGGATCTTGAGCGCTGTGTTTGACTTTTCTACAACTACTTTTGCACGCTGTTAATTAAAGGGACAAACCATGACGTTTATTGGTAGTCGTTGAATATTTAATACAATGACCTATTTTGCCTGCCGTGGATAACCCAAGTTTCATAGCATTTTTTGTATGCCGTAGAATATGTATATTCAAAAAAATAAATAAAAAATCAACAAGTTTTATTTCACCTGTACAATATAAGAAAACATTACAAATAAGCTTTACAAACACACACACCCACACACACACACACACACACACACACACACACACATATATATATATATATATCAATCAACCACCAAAATATTATTTCAAACATAAAAAAAAAAAATAGCTATAACTTTTTAACATCCAAAAACTATTTATTCATTCCAAACCATCCAAAAACTATGTTTCTAGACATCAAAAACTATCCTTAAGTTCAAAACCAACCAAAACGTTCAAAAAAAATAATAAAATCCTTAAGTTCTAAACCATCCAAAAACTATTCTTAAATTCAAAACCGTCGCTGAGGGGCTTTTGTCTTATTATGGGTGATGTCGAAATATTATCCCCTTAAGGGGCAGCCTAAGGAACAAGGAAGAGGCTCAGCTTAATGCCCGCTTTAGAAAACCTGGTAGCTTGACTTCTCACAATTTACGAGAATGAGTACAAGAAACACAAATGGAAATACAACATTTATAAGTGTTGTAATGTGAAACTACAAAAATACAAATGATAGGACTATATCGGTGAAGATTAGTATTAAACCAAAAAGCTAATATTGCAACATAAGGAAATTACAAAACAAGAAAGCTGACAAATGAGAGGGTTTTACTTTCTTTGTCTAAATGAGAGGATCAAAATATATTCGTAGCATCACTACTAGTCCAATCACAACTCAAATATTTGAAACAAGGAAACTGAGTGCTAACTATAACTTTATGTTTTGCATGATGTGTTGATTGGTTGTTCATTAAAAACATGTCCAATTTCAAAATGGCTAAATCGATCAAACTGCACAGCACCGAATAGCCAGAATGCACAACAATTTGGTGCGGTTTATAATCACAAATAGTCAGTTTCAATTATTTGCTAATTGTTAGGAATGAGAACAAGTTGGGGTCGGGGTGGGGAAGTTTCTAAATTTTGTCCCAATTTTCTATTACACCTCGTGACCATGGCCTAATCCCAACTTGTACATTTTTTGTAGTACCACCCATGCTACCTAAGAGGGATTGGGTTTCCCCACCCTGCCAATCACCGCCCTGATTTTGATTTTGATTTTGATTTTTCTAAAATAGATTCAACATAAGTCATACAAATTTCATATTGATAAGAAGCTTCAATTGAATCAAAACTATAAAAATTAAAAATAAGAACCCTTACCTAATTAGAAGTAAGCACAATCCAAAAACAAACCATAACACATCCCCTATAACAATACCCACAACTTCAAATCAATACACAACAAATACAACAATGGCCCCGTTTGGTAGAGCTGTGGGAAAGTGATTATACTTTATAGTTTAACAGCTTATAGCTTATAACTGTGAACATAAGTTGATTTTTGACTTATAAATTAAGCTTCTCCTCCCCCACTCAAAGAATAAGTTGATTTTTGACTTACAAAAAGTTATAAGCTATATTGTTAAGCTGAACCAAACACATCAAAATGGCTTAAATTAAGCTAAAAGCTGAAATAAGCCCTACCAAAGAGGGCCAATAGCCACAACAAGCACACAACAGATAACAAATAAGGAGTTTCTTATCTTAAAAAAAAAAAAAAATCAAATCACATGCTAATGAACAAATCAAATAAAAATGCAAATCTATGGAAGGAAAAAAAATGAAAAAAAAGATTGAGAAAAAAGAAGAAGAACTTGAGGTGAAGGAATCAATGATAGCTGTGAAGGAAGAGTTGAAGAGAAGAGAGGTGCTTCGTCTAAGTGTGGGGCTGTAAACTAATGAACTAGTGGATTCACACCCAATATGTGTGAGAATAAGGAAACATATTAATAATTAAATTTATAAAGTTTTTCATCCATATGTAATAATTTTTTTTGAAAATCCCACTGTTGGGTAATTTCTCCTAAAAAGTTTAACAAAAATTATGAGTATGTACATTTCCTAAGTACAACAATCCTACAATCCCAGACACAAAAACATAGAAAATATTCAACATTTTACATATATGATTTAGATTTACTAGGGTATGAGCCTACAACACCAAGTTTAAATATCAAACATAGATTTGCCTTTCTTGACTTTATTTTGGTTCCATTTTTGGGACCATAGAATTATTGTTCCAAGTATGATGCATTTGTTATCAAGAGGGAAGAAGAGTTAATCAGACCAACCATAAGAACTTGGAAGGAAACAGAGAAATAGAAAATGATAACAATAATAATAAATAAATAAAAACTTTCTCTAAGCTAATTGACTACCAAATATATGAAAGTAGATAACAGTGGGGTCAAAATAATTAGCAGCCATAAGAAAATAGAAGGAAAGTAGATAACAGTGGCCTATATGGTCTTTCGTGCTCTACAAGTTCACTGACTAACATAACAAACCTCATATTTCTTCTCTCTCCCTCTCTCCTCCTCTCTCTCCCTCTCTCTCCCTATAAATAAAGCTAAACTCTCTAATCAACTCTATATTACTCATTTTTTCTCGCCCTTTCACATTTAGAAAGCGTTTTCAACTTCGTCCAAGAGAAAAACACCTCAAATAATACAAAATAGGAAAGGGTCATACCCTTTCCAGTTTGATGCTGATAAAACGTCAAAATTCCCCTGTTTAATGTCAAACAGCGAGCAAAAGGAAGAAAATACTATGATAATCAAATGCAGATATTAGGTTCATTAAAGACTTCAAAATGTATGTAATGTTTCAAAAGATATGTAATGTTTTTGAGTGAAAGGTCAAAGGTTTTCTTCATCTATTTGCTTCCCCCAATCATTTTCAACGTTGGGTAATATCTCTTTCTCTTTCTCTTTCTCTTTCTCTTTCCTTTATACAGATATATACATATTTGTATAGAAATTATTTCTGCAAGAAAGTTTGGTCCAATTTCTCTCCATCATTTTAATGACAGCAATTTCTGCAATTGCCCCAATTAGAAATTTTCCTTTAAATGCCAACAACAAAAATGAAACATGCTTAATCATAAGCAATTTCAATGTCTCCAGCTAATTGCAGAAGAGTTGTAATGTGCTACAAAGTAATTAATAAAAGTGGTGAAAAATGGCACATTTACCATTGATTTAAGAAAGGAATCTTACCTTTTATAAAAGAGAGAGATGAAGTGGGTGATGAAACAGAACGATTAACATTAGATGCACCATGTGACTTATCACTCTCTGGCCATGTTTGTTTGGGCGGACATGTGCTTGGGATTGGATTAATAGTCCAATGAAATTATTAATCCGATGTTTGGTTAAAAAATTGAGGTACGGATTAACAATCCTTCCGGATATGGTATCCCATATATGATGGATTATTCAATTCCACAAAGAATGGTGTGATTTAAATTGGGGGATTAGCCAAAGTCTGGACTAATTCATAAAATGACCAAATTAACCCTCAATATATATCTGTATTTGTTGATTATCTTTTTCCCCAACCTTCACTCTTCTTCGACATTGTGATGAGATGAGAGTCTTCAAAGTTCGTCACCGATCTTGAGCCACTGATCACCGATTTGGAGCCACCATTTACAAATCTGGAGCAACTGTTCATCGATTTGGATTCACCATTGGTTGATTCGCTGATCTCAACAAAGCAACAGTTCATCGATTTGGATCCACCATTTGTTGATTCGCTGATCTCAACAAATTTCAGTGAGTATTTTTTTTTTGTTCCATTGATGTTCGGTTTGAATTAAGGTGCTATTATGTGGTTTTATTTTCTATGAATCTTTGTTTTGCATTGGTGTTGTTATAGTTGTTGATTTTTTTAACTCGATTTGAACTCGACTCTAAAAACTAAACAACTTCCATTTGAGATTGATTCGGGAAGTATGAACTTATTAATTCTCAAACTCAATGCATCCTCTAATTTATTTGCCCTAAGTGCTTGAGAATTGTTTGAAGTGTTTAGATTCGAATCTTAGCTGTAGCTTTCTTTTCTTTTGTTTCCGTCTCACTGATTGTGCAATCTCCTCTCTATAACGTGTTGGATGATCAGTAACTTCATGGTCCTTACTTGTGTTGTATAGTATATGCCGTAAATTCAAATTCAAATTCAGTTTCAGTTTCTTACTGACAGGAAGTGTTAAATTGTTAAATTCAATTTCTTCTGTATGTCTTTCCAAAACCAGTGTTAAATTGTGATGTTTATCTGTGATTGGATTAAGTGATTTATTATGAGCATTTTTGAATTTGGTGTTTCCAGAAATAAATAGCCTTATAATCATGGATTTCCTTCATTTCCTCCCTCTCCCCCATTTGTGTATCTATCTGTCTCTCTGTGCAATCGATTTGAACCACATTCCCTGCTGCTATGTGTATGTGTGGAAAGAAGAGTAAATCTTAACATGGTGAGTAAAATATAGTAGGACACTTGAACCTAATTTTGCATGGACTGAGAAATGATGAAATCTTGTTTTTTTGGCACTGGTGAGAGGAGCAGATAGCTAATTTGGCTGCCATTGTTACAGAAACTGCCCTGTTTGTTCATCAACCCTTGACCCATCATATATATCTTGCTTTGTTTTTGGATATGGTTGTTGTGGCATTGATATGTACTAGTCTAGATATTATAAACATCATCTATCCATTTAACATCTGAACAACATGCCCCAAATGGCCCACTTTGCCCATAGATATGTGTATCCACTTAAACATCATCATCATTTTAAAAAAAATTAATATAAGTTGTTACATTACTTTATTTATTTTCTGGATTTTTTTTAATACAAAAATAAAAAAATCAATTAAAATAACTAATTATCAAACGAATCTCAACTATACATTCTTATTCGAGGTAAAAATCTAAGTAGTTCTTCTTGGTTCGCAGAATTTGTAATATATATATATATATATATATATATATATATATATATATGAGATAGGTGTATGAGAAAGTTGTCACAGGGGATGAGAATCTTATAAAATTTAGAGTTTGATGACATAATTATCAGCAAGCCTATGGAACCACTTATCGATATAAATTTAGCATATTTTTATTTGACTATTATACTCCATTATTTATAGTGAACTTTCCTCACTCTTTCATGGAAATGTAGGTATTAGTGTCAAATCATGCTAAATACTGTGTAATCCTTTTTGTGCACGTATGGAATTCAATAACAAAATTAAATATAATCCTTTTACATAATATGAGATATGATTTCGTGTGCGCTTAAAATTTTAAATTCACAACAATTAAAAGCACTCATTTCAATTAAGGGGTGGAACCCGAAGCTAATGATGGTGCACTAAGAAATGCATGCCTATGATTTAAATTGAAGGAGTGATTCTTTTGCTGCCTACTGCTGTTATTGCAGGTGACGATGGTAACAAAGTGGGATTAAATTTAAAGTGGGATTTTAAAACTTTCTCATGTGTAATTCACTCTTTGTTTTTTTTTATTTTTTATTTATTTTTTATTTTGGATCCAAAAAGGAACACTAATCTCTAAAAAATTTATGGTCATGTATCTCTAATTTCTTTTTTGCCATGCTGGATGCAGATCAACAACAAATGACAAAAACAAAGTCCATGTTATGAATTGATTGGTCCCATGACATGATGGAACTAGCATTATGCTTGAGCACTTTAAAACAATGATGCCATGTCATGCCATCACTTTACCTTGCATAAACACAGAGTAAAATTGATTATGGTTCACACTTCTTCCTTTTGTGAGTATGCATAATATGTGGTTTCCAAATTATTATTGTGCATGTGATATGACACCTTGGGCTTGACTAGTAAGAAAATTAGGAAGCATGTGGGAAATGTATATGGATATTTTTTTGTTTTGTTAATTTTTTTGGAATTATGAAGTTTTCTTGTACTTTAATATATTGATGTGTATCACTATTTGCATAGATGGATTACAATTTCGATGGTTTTGGAGATGAGAGTAATGAAGAGCTTGAGCTTTATGTAGTGTTGCAAGTTGTAATGCAAGAATTGTATGCCTTATGCATTGTAGCATATATTGCCATTGAAATTGTCTTGTAGAGGTACATTCATAAGTATCCTCGTACCGTTATTCAAGGGCCCAATCGATTGCAAGAACAAATGAACCACATTAATCGACTAGTGAGAGAAAGCGACATTACATGCATTAAACAACTTCGTATGGATAGGCGTTGTTTTATGACGTTATGTCATATGGTTCGTACAATAGGCAGGCTGGGGCATTCAAAACATGTTACCTTAGAAGAGAAGATGGCCTTGTTCCTCTATGTCTTGGCACATGACCTGAAAATACGAAAGCTTAAGTTCAATTTCTTTAGGTCTGGAGAGACTGTAAGTCGACATTTCAATGATGTCCTAAAAGCTATGTTGCGCCTTCAAAGCCACTTACTTAGGACACCAAATCCTATAACACAAGCATGCACTGACCCAAGGTGGAATTGCTTCTAGGTAAATGTAGTTTGTAAAACATTTAATAAAATACATTACAGATTTTTTTTTACAACTCATACTTATTACAATGTCTTCTATGTATTAGAATTGTCTTGGAGCACTTGATGGAACCTATATTAAAGTTCGCGTACCAGTGGTTTACCAAGCACGGTATAGAACACGGAAGGGGGAGATTGCTACCAATGTTCTAGGAGTTTGCTCCCAAGACATGAACTTCATTTATGTGTTGCCGAGGTGGGAAGGGTCAGCTGCAGATTTTAGGGTTTTGAGAGATGCGATTAATCGACCCAATGGCTTAAGAATTCTAACTGGTAATTAATAAATAATTAACTTTGCTTAATAATAGATTCTAATATATAACATCTCATACAGGGTACTACTACCTAGTAGATGCCGGGTATACAAATGGACAAGGATTCCTAGCACCTTATCGGGGCCAACGATACCATTTGTCTGTTTGGAGAGCAGGGGCCACTCCAACTAATTATCAAGAATTTTTTAATATGAAACATGCATCAGCTCGAAATGTCATAGAAAGGTGTTTTGGTTTGTTGAAAATAAGATGGGCAATACTTCGTTGTGCATCATACTACCCCATTAGAACTCAAAACCGTATCATCACAGCATGCTGTTTGTTACACAACCTCATTCGTCGAGAGATGCCGATTGACCCAATAGAAGAGAGGCTAAATAATGACATAGAAGATCAACCTCAATTGGGAGATGATTTTGTTGACACCGTTGAGACATCTAATGAATGGACTAGGTGGCAGGATACACTTGCAATGCAACTATATAACAATTGGTTGGCTAGTAGGGAGGCATGACAATGATAGTTTCAATATTTGTAAAAGTACTTGTTACAAGTATGATGTAGTTTCATTTGATTTGTACATGGAACTTGTATTAGCTTGTAGATGTTGAACCATGTTTTGCAAAAATTGTATGGCTTTTGTTGGTGATTGCATATTTTTTAAGTGACGATATTTTGGTCTCATGGATTTGTTACATGCATGTATGGGTATGAAATTTTTTGATTATTGAAATCCATTTATGTATTGACTTGTTTTGGCACATTAACAGGTTGATAGTCATATAATGGAGACTAACATGCACACTTTTCTTTGTTCTTCTTTGCTAGGCATGGATAGTGAAGTGTCTAGTTCTCATAAAAAAGTAAAGGAGAAAGTTGATCCATCAAAACCAAGGCGATTGTGGAGCCCACGAGAAGAGCAATGTCTTATTAATGCCTTGATGCACATTGCCAACAATGGAATGAAACAGGACAATGCCTTCAAGGGCGGCTACCTTATGAAATTAGAGGAGAAATTGTTGGAGATGCTACCCGGGACAAACCTTCGCGGCACTCCCCACATCGAATCAAAAATAAAGATATGGAAGAAGCACTACAACTGTGTAGCAAAAATGCTGGGTATCAGTGGTTTTGAATGGAATGACACCGAAAAAAGGATTGATGTTGAGAGTGATAGTGTCTGGGAAGCATACATTCGGGTAAAATAATTTCTTTAAGTTACTTTGTACAAGTTGTTAATTTTTTAATTCATTTTTCTTTAATCTTAAATTGGAGATATTAATTGAAATTGGTTATTGTAGAGGGAGAGCGATGCGAAAAATCTACGAAACAAAAGTTTTCCGTATTTCGACTCATGGATCTACATATTTGGTAAGGATCGAGCTATGGGGGAGTTTGCTGAAGGGCCTGCTGATGCAGTTGATGCTATAAATGTTGAGGAAAAATTGTTGTTCAACAGTCTTGCAGATGATGGCACATTTCTTGAGCATATGGGTAGTAGTAGTCATATCGGCGAGGGAATAAATTGCTCCAGCTCATCAAGTCAACGACCACCTGAAAGTTCTACAAAAAAGAATGACAACAAGAAGAGGCCTAGAGGCAATGATGATGTAGTGGAAGGGTTGTCTATGATTGCTAACAAGTTGGGTGAGGTATTTTCTGCCACTAATGAAAAGTTGGATTTCATTGGTCGAAGAATGTGTTATGAACATGATCTCGCATCTAAACGGGCAAGTTTGAATGATGAACTCATTAAGTTGCCAATTACTCCTGATGAAAGGCTAGATGCTTGTGAGATCATATCACAAAGTGCTCAAAAGCTCGACATGTTCTTCAGCTTGACACATGATGACAAACTAAGGTGGGTGATGAGGTTGCTACGTAGGAGTGCTCCATGATAGACTCCTGTCTCTTTTATGTCCTTCTACGTACTTAGTTTTTTTGATTACTCTAATGCATGTAATACGGACTTGACTTTTTGCTACTATTTTTTTGTTGAACTACTCATATTTTGCTACTTCATGTTGCAATATGTTACTTGGAATGCTTATTTTGAAATGATGAATGGTAGATTTATACTACAATTTCATAGTTGAATGATTTTTGATATTTTTTTGTTCGAAAAAAAAGAGTTAAATTTCGTTTAAATAAATGCCTTTTTGAATTTGGGTAGTGAATGGTTGGATGATTAAAATAACAGGGCATATTTTTTAATGATTACTTGTGTATATATGAATTTTATAGTTGACTGATTTTTGATTTTTTCTATTAAAAAATAAGTGGGGGTTAAATTTTGTTCAAATAAATACTTTTTTGAATTTGAACAATGAATGATTAGATGATTAAAATAGTAGTGTATTTTTTAAAATGGTTGCTTATGTATATATAAATTTTATAGTTGAATTATTTTTTATTTTTTATTTTTTCTATTAAAAAAATGGGTTAAATTTTATAGGGGTATCATGGTCAATATATTGGATGTCCCACATCTTGTCATGTCCTATCCATTCAAATCTCCTTAAACAAACATCGGATTGGATAATATTTTATTAATCCTTCCTTATAATCCTAACTCAACCCAAACATAGGATAGGATACACAATCCAAAGGATTCATAGTCCTAGGACTAAAAAAAAATCAAAAAATTAACTTTTTACCAACTTTCCAAAACACCACTAACTCTAAAAGAATTATTCTTCTTACTTTTAATTTTATTATTATTATTGTTATTATTAGCCTTTAAATTTGTGGACGTCCATAATAAATTTATTTAAAGTTTAAGATTAATTAAATTATCTTCCAATAATATTTAATTTGCACTTTAAGATTTACTAGCAAAATATTCAAGATTGTAAAATTGTTATTATTTATTTATTTATCGGGTTCTCACATTCTTTCCCCCTTAAAAGAAAAGTTTTGTTCTCGAAACTAACTTGAGTAAATCATGAGAATTAGTGTAGATACTTCTTGCACATCTCATCCTCGCATTTTTAAGTTGTCTATTCAACTAGATGATTATGCTACCTTAACTAATTTAATAGCTTTTGTATGCAATCACTTTTCTTTCAAATCCAATATCCGAACAGGCGTCTCCTCTGTTATGAGAGTAGAGAGAGAGAGGAGAAAAGAAAAACACTTGTAAAATACGGTATGTAAATATATAGAGAATATATACTATATTTAAGACCCCCATCAATCTCAAGGTTGTAATGCAGATATCAATTTGTGCTTGGAAAGCAAATTAGAAAAGCATCTTGGAGGATGAGCTTTGGTGAAGATGTCAGTTGTTTGATTGGCAGAGGTAACATAGAGAAGACAAACAGTGCTACTCGTAACATGTTGTCGTATAAAGTGACAATCTATCTCAATATGCTTGGTGCGATCATGGAAGACATCATTATGTGCGATCTGAATAGCACTTTGACCGTCATAATAGGGGGTGGTGATAGTAGGATGAGAAACACCCATGTCAGAAAGAAGCTAACGAAGCCACACAAGCTCTTGAGTAGTATCAACAAGAGCACGATACTCTACCTCAATACTAGAACACACAATAAAAGTGTGCTTCTTACTACGCCAAGTAATAAGAGAGTCACCCAAGAAAAAGTAGAAACCTATAGTAGAACAACAATCAATAAGAACCCCTGCCCAATCTGCTTCAGAAAAGGCGTGTAACTATAAAGAAGAATGTGTTGAGTAGCGAAGACCATGAAGCATAGTTCCTTTGAGATGGTACAAAATGCAAACCAGAGCATTATAATGCGGAGAACGAGGAGCAGCCATGAACTGATTGACAATGTAAATTGCTTAAGCAATGCTTGGACGAGTAACTGTGAGATGGACAAGACTGCCTACTAACAGACAATATAAAATAACATCAGATAATAGGTGACTATCAAGAGTTGTGAGACCAGTTTGAGGATGATCAACTGGGGTAGAGGCAGTCTTGTAATTAGCAAGACCAGCATGAGCCAAGAGATCAAAGGTATACTTGGCCTGGGTGAGAAAGTAACCAGAAGGATCATGAGAAATTTCCAAGCCAAGGAAGTAGCTAAGCAAACCCAAATCTTTCATCTCAAACTAGCAATTGAGGTACTATTTGAGACTAGAGACACCTACTGTGTCATCTCCAGCGATGATTATATCATCCACATAGAGAAGAAGAAGAAGAATAATACCACGCCTTGTCGTACGTATAAACAGAGTAGAATCATAGACATTAGAGGAGAATCTAAAGTCATAAATGGTACAACTGAACTTGGCAAACCAGGCATGGAGAGCTTGTTTCAAACCATACGAAGTATGACAAAGTTTGCAAACTTTGATGGATGGAACTAAGGAACCAGGAGGAGGTTTCATATAAATTTCTTTAGTGAGATCACCATTGAGAAAAGAGTTCTTAACATCCATCTGACAAAGACTGCAATGGTGAGCAGTAGCAATGACAAGGAGGCTACGAACTGAAGTACGATGGACAACATGAGCAAAAGTTTCCTCATAGTTAATCCTATATTGTTGAGTAATTTCCTGGGCAACAAGACGAGCTTTGTAACGCTCAATGCACTACAACAAAAAAAGATTTTTACGACGCCAAATGCACACCATAAATATGATTCTACGACGTGTAAGGTAACGTCATATTATATTCAATCATGGAAAGTTATTCACTTTCAATGGCATGTTGTAGTATGCCATAAAAAATATTTAACAGCGGATCTTAAGCGCTGTGTTTGACTTTTCTACAACTACTTTTGCACGCTGTTAATTAAAGGGACAAACCATGACGTTTATTGGTAGTCGTTGAATATTTAATACAATGACCTATTTTGCCTGCCGTGGATAACCCAAGTTTCATAGCATTTTTTGTATGCCGTAGAATATGTATATTCAAAAAAATAAATAAAAAATCAACAAGTTTTATTTCACCTGTACAATATAAGAAAACATTACAAATAAGCTTTACAAACACACACACCCACACACACACACACACACACACACACACACACACATATATATATATATATATCAATCAACCACCAAAATATTATTTCAGACATAAAAAAAAAAAAAAAACTAGCTATAACTTTTTAACATCCAAAAACTATTTATTCATTCCAAACCATCCAAAAACTATGTTTCTAGACATCAAAAACTATCCTTAAGTTCAAAACCAACCAAAACGTTCAAAAAAAATAATAAAATCCTTAAGTTCTAAACCATCCAAAAACTATTCTTAAATTCAAAACCGTCGCTGAGGGGCTTTTTGTCTTATTATGGGTGATGTTGAAATATTATCCCCTCAAGGGGCAGCCTAAGGAACAAGGAAGAGGCTTAGCTTAATGCCCGCTTTAGAAAACCTGGTAGCTTGACTTCTCACAATTTACGAGAATGAGTACAAGAAACACAAATGGAAACACCACATTTATAAAGTGTTGTAATCTGAAACTACAGAAATACAAATGATAGGACTATATCGGTGAAGATTAGTATCAAACCAAAAAGCTAATAGTGCAACATAAGGAAATTACAAAACTAGAAAGATGACAAATGGGAGGGTTTTACTTTCTTTGTCTAAATGAGAGGATCAAAATATATTCGTAGCATCACTACTAGTCCAATCACAACTCAAATATTTGAAACAAGGAAACTGAGTGCCAACTAGAACTTT